GAATTTTTACTTCTTCAACTGTAAAACCAAAATATTCTATGTGAAATAGTAGAGCGTTGTAGCTGAACTCCAGCACGAGCAATCATGTGTGTCTTAAGACTATACTGAGTGTTTGCCCTCATACTAAGAAAAGCAACAGAAAGGAAAAAGCATCTTAAGACAACAACAAACAAACCATCACAGAGAGATATATAGAGAGAGAGGGAAAGAGCCTCGGAAGAGCCACTTGCTTTGATTACTGGATGATGGCTTTTTGGCTGTGGAGCATGGAAAGAGCCTCATGAGTCGAGCTCTCACACCGCGCTTGTGGACAATCTGAGGGTAACCTGGGAAATACAGCATTAGGTCTTACGGTTACCCAGGCAACTAACAGCCCCAGTACATTCTAGGAAACTGGACATGCAAGAGGCGAGGGTCTGTTAAAGTTCATATAGACACAAGGCTACCTCATAGCTGGTTCTTCAGGACAACACAGTCGTTTTAACACTGTGTCAGTTTAAAGCTGCACCGTGGAGCTTCAAAACACAGCGAGAGACAATGTCTTGAATTTGGAGGACTTAAAAGTGGCAGAAATTATGTAATGTTAGTAATATAATGAGATGTATGGTACGTAAAATTAACAAACACAGTCAAATGGACAAAAGCACACACAACTGGGTTGTAATGAACATAAATTGTGCTTTAATATACAGTAGTTACTTACTTACAAATGTGAGCAGCTTATATTTGACTAACCTCTAGCATGGCCACTGATTACAGTCTTGTTAGAGGCTCTGTGAAGCTATACACAGAAACAGCGGTGCTTTGGGCTAGATGATAATGTTAGCATGCTAACAAGCTCTCATTCACAATGCTAACATGTTCTTAAACGTTAGCAACACTAACATTACATCTGATGCTGATGGTAATAGCTTCTTCAAGTATTTGGTCATAAATCAAAGTAGCCAAATAGCGTCTTACAGCCAACTGGGAACCATGAATGTCTCTAATCTAAATTGTCCGATTGTGCCAATCCATCGTGGAGATGTTGAGATATTTTAATAGATAATATGAAAATGTTCTGGTGGCGCTAGTTGAAAGGTCGGGGGATCACTAAAGTCATTAGGATTCACACATTGGGGACCACCAATGTTTCTACAAAAAGTCATTGCAATCCATCCAATAGGTTTTGAAATATTATAGGCTAAAAATTAAGGTCTGGATTTAACTCAGACACTTTAATACCATCCAGTTAGATGAAAATAAGTTCCCTCTTTTGCTTTTCTGCATGAATCTACTTTAAAAACATATAACAAGTTCAAGGCTGCCTAAATATGGCATTACTGAAAGTCACCTGCAACTAGTTCACTGGGTTACATTACTTATTAACAAGTCTCCAAGCACATTGTAGGTCATCAGTGTAAAAGACATGCTGTGAATATGATATGGAGCCTGTGACCTCACGTCAGGGAGTAATTTAATATGTCATCAGGTGTCAACTCTTTTCACACATAGCCAAGCATGCTCCTTGACAAAAGGTGGTCCATCCAAGGTCTAAAATGATCAGCACAATACAGAAAAAAACTCTCTTAGTTTATATGCAGCAGCCCTGTATGTATTAGAGTCATTAAGTTCACAGTCTTGCCTAAAAGCGCACAAGCCCATTTCCCCTCCCACTCCGGGCTATACTGAAATATTTAGTGTAAGGTTGGATGGCAACAGTGGCTGTTAGGATGAGTTCTCAAGTGCTGCAAACCGTTTGTCAAACCACGCCAACACTCAATTAATTTCAAGGCTGCAATCACAGGTTAAAAATAATAGCATAGAGCTCCTGGCATGTTTATAACCAGTCAACCCAACGTCAAGATTGCCAATGGGAGTTGTAAACGTGGGCTATAAAGGGACGAAGTGGTAACAATTACATCACTGAATACAGGCTCTGAAAATTGTGCCATAAATCTGCAACCTAGTCTGGCAACATCATGGAGGTCCAGTGGAAAACTGTCTGCCTAAGCCATCTGCAAAATCATTACCAGAACTGATTCGTTTTCTCATATTGACTTCATGAAACACAGTTAAATTTAAATTCTTAGTTTTTGTACTCTGCACAAAGATCATTATGGCAAGTACCATACTGGATGATTTTCTCAAAAAAAAAAAAAAAAAAATCCTAGAAACATCAACAAATTTAAAATACTGCATATACATTTATGAATAAAATAACAACACTAAGAGTGTACAACCATGCTAGCGGCCTACTTAGGCGAAGCAGTGCTGATGTCAGAATGCAATCAGAATCAACGTCGTAGTTTACTGTGTTAACATTCGCTATTCAGCACTAAACACAAAGTCATTAGGTTGATGAAAATGTCATTAGTTTTGTATTAGATATAGTATTGGAGAAAAAGTCAAACTCATGGTAGCTGCCAACATAGGTAACAATATAAATCAAATTAATCTTTTTTTTTAAGTTTTACTACTTGTGCAGCTCTATTATTTGAACATGTGTTTTATATTTCCAATAGTGATTTATCTTATCTACTTTATCTATGTGCCAATTGTTGTGCAGTTCTTTGAGAAAATGGCCGAGTTTTAGGCAAAATAAAAGTTGACTAAACTTTCCCTAAAGGAACATTTCCTATCATTTCAGTATCTTGCCAAACACTTTTTCATCAAGCTGGAATGGACCCATGACAGAAAGGTTGCAGAATGAAAATCCCAGCCTTTTCACCCTTACAGTGTGCAGAGTTTAAAACAGCACAGACTCGGAGCAGATGGTTAAAAGCTCAGATCTGGCACAATGTACACAATAACCAACATTATGGTGCACAGCAAAGTTCTCAAAAAAAGACATTGTGGATTCTGCTAAGCCTGGCTGTCAGCTTAAGGCCAGTTCATATTGCCCTCTATAACGACACAATAACTTTGAGATTTAGAAGATGAAGAGACACAGTGAAGCCCTCATCTGTTCTTGTTACCTGCCTGACACCTCCTTCCTTTCTTCCTGAGTGGAGAGGAGACGTCTGAGTGCCCTCACTGAGGTTGAACCAGACAGATGCTGCTTTTGTTACGAAGCGATATTGGTCTTGACAGCAAGCTGGCTTTATTTGGAAGCACTGCTCTACGACACAGAGACATCTCTCCTAGTTCGGAGCTCAAGGACAATGTGGTGGGCTTCAGTGTATTCTCTAGCACCTGAACAACGAGTGAGTTTGGGATGTAGTACAAACAGAGAGCGAACGATATGTACCATCACTAATAGAATTGAAAGACTGCTGATGAGAAGCTGAACGAACATGAAGGCAAAAAAAAAAAAAAAAAGAACTCTGAAGTGGAATAAAGCAGAGTATGAGTGACAGAGCGTTTAATCAGGCAGGAAAAGAGCATGCAGTCATGGCTGTCTGATTAATGTTTGCCCTTCTAGTTTATTGACAAAATGGATCTGGCTCTTGAGTGTGTGTGATAATGTGGAGAGTGGCTGCTGTGCCCTGCTGCCCTTATCCACAAAAGGTCAAAGGTAAGAAACAAAACGAAACATAAACGAGGAGGTGTTGTCCTGAAGAATCAGTATATCAAGCAATCATGGAGGATTCTGTAGTCACATTTTACTGATTCAGTCATTACGTGCACACACACAAAGTCATGCCATACTTTTGCCTTCCTCGAAAGAGAAAACAGACCTTAGCAGCTCGTTGAGTGACAGCTGCTTTAATGGCAGGTTGTAGCTGACTGTACAGCTCATCAGAAATGTAACTCACAGCCACCTCTGAGTCACAAAGCTTCCTTAGCCATTTTAGCCTGCAGCAATACACGAGAATGAGATTGAATGTTCTACAGAGGGTTATAAACAAAGGAAAATGCATCAGCAAAATATAATTACCATGGGACATAGTGTAACTAGCTTTGTAGACTATAGCCATAAAATGGTCTACTACACAGTACCTTCTTCATCAATGAGCTGACAGAGCCACAAAAATACTTAAACCCTGAAAAATGAATGTGAGAATATAACCCCACTAAAATGAGTTTGGCCCGATCAATCATGGTTCAACTGCTACACTCCCTCAAGGTATGTGATTCAGGAGTCATTTATATCTCAAAAATAAAGTCAAGCTAGAGGGTAAAACCTTCATCGGATCCATAAAGTGTAAAAGAGTGGCTAATAAATATTTGATAAATCTGCATCGTGTACAAACTGAAATGTCTTGTAGTTGACCATGGATGGCTGCTTGATATCAATAAATATTGGGTAATTTCTTGTGCTGAAGCACATGATTTGATGATGAAT